AGTATCACAACTTAATTACCTGTCTCACAACATACCTTGTTTCCTGGTACGTGTTCTAGTAATTCCCCTCAAGTAAAAATAACCTGGACTGTCTTTTCCCTTTTGTCTGCAGCTGAATGGAATAGAGAGAGCTGCCCTCTCTCTTTACCACTTTCTCAAAAGTAGTTCTTCCATACCCGCACAGCTGTAGGAGTATAGAAGCCTCCTTTTACTGAATCAACACCTCTAGATCAAGGAGTTAAAACTAATAAAAAAATCGGTCTGCTGCAATTACAGCTGTTACAACTGATCTTCCTCCTCTTCAGTCTGTTCAGGCTCACTAGTACTTTTAAGTAAATTCCTTGTCGTCTTCTTTTGCTTTAGTTCTTCTCTGTAGTCAAACACAAAAAGGCTTGAGTCTTCATCACACATTTTCCTGTATGTATTGCACAGATTTCTAAACTGTGACATGGAGAGCTGAAAAGGACGCAAAGTTGGATCAACATTTGCTGTCATCATCAGCTGTTCTGTTCTTTTCAAACGTCCACTTTCAGGAAACAAGGTCCTAGAAGGTGCGGGGAGAAAAAAACCCAAATTCAAACAATTCAGACAGACAATTAATTTTCCCTTAAGAGTAACACAGAATTTACTTAATATAGGTTTACTATTAGCTATGTCGTTATTTTAGCTCTGGCACTCTTAATATAACTCATTATCTAAGCAAATGGAAACATATGAGGGTCTTTTTTCTGCAAATGCAAATTATGACACCACAGAAAAGCACATACATAAATATATTAAACCCGTGCATGTGTGGTCCTGTTTGCTAACATTAAAAAGAGCTTTGAGTATGGATACAAGCACAGAAGCTTCTTAGAATTAGTCTCATATTTAGAAAGCAACAACAGATTAAACTGTGCAAAACAGATCAGATCCAAACCGTATGACTTTCTTTCAGACCATTTCATTCCAATGGGAAAGATATTTGTTATCACTTGTCATTAATATCATAATTCTAATGCCAGGAAAAAAAAGGCAAAGAAGTAGGAGAAGACTATTTAATTAATCATACAATTTTTAATATTTAGAACCTGGAGAATACGGCAGGAGTCCTAAATTTTGGGTTCAGCTCTGTCATTCTTTATAGATAAAGGCATGGTTTATGTGTGTGTCTCAATTTTCAAGTTGTACCTATGATACATAAATAATATCTAAAAATGTTGTGCATCTAATACAGTAACACTCTCATACGCCAGATGTGTTTTGCAGGTTGGCTAGACAAGTTAATCAAAAAGCTCTGTATAACCCATTAGTTCAGCATCCAAGTCAGCAAGGTTAAAAATGGATCGATCCTTATTTCAATATCCCTCAAGTAATTCTTTGATTGGGTAGTTAAAAGACATACCTGGAGCCAGAATTTACAGACAAATGTGAACTGATTCTATACCTTGTTTTTATACACTATATGTGATAGATAACCTTAAAATGAACTTAGCAGCTTTATTGTACACTAAAATTTGCTATTTTTTTCAGGTCAGCTAAAGAATAAGAGGATTGTGTTTCTTAGCTGCATACTAGGGCTAAAGTATGATAAGCTGCTAGGGAATACGTGACGTCCAAAAGTTCAGATTCCCCCTCCTTGCCTCAAAAGAATGTAAAGCAGTTATTAGCAATTTGAGATTACACAATAGTTGGGTTTCTTTTTTTTTCAGCTTTGGCAAAAATATTGTACGTAACATATATAGGATGATTGCACACGCCTTCTGCTTACACTGTCGCTGAAACATTCTTTCACACACAAAATAAAAGAAGAAAAAAAGAAAGCCACCACCCCCCCGTAAATCAAATACAAATCAATCTAGACTTTGGATACTTCTTTTTCTAAACACCTCCAAATGCATACTCAAACCTTAACACAGGCAAATCAGTACTCATTTTAGATCCAATGTCTGCATCCCAGACATCAGTGGCATTCATGGCCTCAAGAAAAAAAACCAAAGCAAAACTAGAGGCAAAAGTCTTTGTTCACCTTCAAAATAGTGACATATAAGGCTTGTAGTTCAGTAAGGTGGCATCCACTCTAATTCTAGACTGACTCACCAAAACTATGCCCAACAAACTCAGCTAGCCCAAGCTACAGGAGCATCCTTCTAGTCCTAACAGCATCTGTCACAAATTCTACAGTGTGGAGTGCTGGGTTTTGCCCATACCAAGTCAGACACGTGGCTCTGTTGGAGTTTTAACAGGAACTCTGGCGAAGAGACTGCAGGTTTCTCACATTAGAGAACCTAGTAAATTTCCTCAGTAAGACATGGGGATTTTAAAAGAGCCAGTAAGAGCTCAATAAAAGGGCAAGCACAGAAACAAGAATTTGACCTTTTGACATTATCCCCAAATAAGTAAAATTTGCTACAGATGATGTTCTCTTCAAACTTCCATCCAAACCTCCTCACACTGCCATCTTTGATTCTGAATTTTGATACTTTTGGTTTTTAACTTAATCATGCAGTAATTTTTGTGGTTGGGCTGTGTTGTTTTCATTTCTGAGACAGACAAAATACTGAAAAGATGACCAATTTATTCTAGTGATTTTAACAACTTCAACTGCACTAACAAAAATGCCAAGTAATTATTATATAATTACATCGGAAAGATATTAATCTCTGAATTTGTCTTCAGAAATTCTGAAATGGAAAGATCTAATGAACTATAATGACAAATGTAAACTGGGAGGAATAAAATCAAATGCATAGCTAACTGATTTAGTAGCTGATGCATTTACAAAGACATTATCTGAGAATTTTTCATTAAAAATCCTTACTCAAGTCCACGGAAACAGTATTTTCTTCTAAACTGGAAAACACTTCGAACCACTTTTTCTACTAGCTCAAACGGCTGCTGTATCTTTGGTTGCACCAATGGAGTGAAATGCACCACAGCCACATCCACCTATATGGAAAAGAAAGATAAATTTGAGTACACATATTCCTTTGGCACACATTACTTCTCAGTTAACTGGCCAGACATCAGAAGACAGGCACAAGATAGGAAGACATTACTGCAACAGGTAACACAGCTGTGCAGTGACCAGTGTTGTAGTATTGAATATAAAGATATAAAGATTTAGCTTTCAAGGCCCTACGTAATTTTAGTCTTAGTTATCTACATATTTCCAATTAGTTCAAATGCCATTAGTACTTGGTTCTTTTTTCCCCATGGCACTTCCTCCATCTAAAGCAACTTCCATATAATCTGAAAAGTAATTAGCACTTCTGTCTTCAGATCCTTCCACAAGACAATTCTGACATAATACACAAATTAGACAATATTGGATATACAGGCTGAAGGGCAGCTGGAGAAAATTGGTATTATAATTAGAAATCAAACCCATTCCCTGTTATGTTTTCTGTTGCTCTAGGGCTTTTCTAAAATGTAAGCCAAGGAATTACTTTTCAACATACTATTAAAATGCTAGCCTACTTAAAGGAATAGTAGGTAGAAATAAGTTTGCACTCATCTTAAGTGAACAGACAACTCTGTATTTAAACTGTGTATCACGCTTAATCCAAAGTTATGTTTGAAAGATTCCACACAGGTAAGCTTGTATATATTCTTTTATAGTTCTAAAATCAGCTTGGCTGACAGAATAGTCACTTTCCCTGTGTCTGAAAAGAGACTGAGGTTATATGTGCACATTTTATGGTTTTTATATGTATATATCTATATGAGATGCAACTACAGAGACACTGTATTATATAGAAATGCCTTGAATTCAGACTTCTGTATTAAAAAACAGAAGCTGAGCTAAAAATCCAGTTCTGCACAGCAATGAATAAAGAAGTTTGTCTTCCAAACTAAATATTAACAAGAATAAAAAGGAAAACATTCTGTGGAAGAGCACACTGAAAATTTGTACAATTTGTACAAGTACTGGTACTGAATGATTAAAAATTTTTAAGTACCGGATTTTAAAAGATATTCAGTCTCTTATTAAAAGAGTCTGCTAATATGATGGACAATCATTCATTTTTTTAAAAGGTCTGACAACCAATATTGGCGTTCATAGAACAGATTCTATGAATCTGTTCTATGAATGCCAATTGAACAGATGATGTTCAATTGGCATTGAACTGAAGATGTGCTAGTTCTGACTGAAATAAGAGACACACACAGGCTAAAGAACAGCTGCTGCTCTAAGCACACACTTAGTGTACCAATTGAGATAGCCCAGATCACGGGGGTACTTGAAAGGTTTTTCCTACTGCTTCAACCAAAACTGCTCATAGCAACCTCTGATGTGGACATATTCTTCTGACACAAAAGTACTATCTATCCAAATTGTTCTTTCAGTGGGAACAGCTCAGCTGTCAAGTACATCTACGCAGTACAACTGCTTCAACGCACAAAGTACTGTATTTCAACGGAATCATTAAATTCAAACAACATTAGGTTTTTCATGTAGACAGAACTTACAAAGCTGAACAAAAACACTGGCTAGAGAAAGGAAAGAAAATACCAATTAATGGTGCTGATGAAGGAAAAAAAAAGAAACAGAGCACGTTTCCAGCATTAGCACTACTGATCTCAAGTTTATGTTACTGAATGTTTTTTCTCTACTTGTCCACCTTTTCTGAGAGCTAGAATTAAGAATAAGGCAGAAAAAACACTTAAAATTACTAAAATGTGAAGTACAAGAACTTACTTAAAAATCAGGTGACAAAGAAAACTTGACATATGGAATCTGCAGTGAAATGCACAGTATTTTCCACAGCAGATTTTTAATTTTCAAGTATTCTTAGCTTTTGCCTTTGCCACAGGTTGCTGTTACCTATGAGGAAGACCATAGGAATACAGAAAAAACTTGTGTTCACACTAAGTTAATCTTTTTGAACAGAGAAAATACATACTTCACATGTACTAAGGGCTTATTTACACATGCATTTGTGTATTGTCAAGAAATAAATCTAGGTATTTCCCCCACAAAATTAGGGGTAAGAAAGAAAACAACCAGAGACCCTGTGGCATCTCCTAGTCACCTCAATTTTGCAGAACTGCTCATGAGAAACGAGGGCTCTCTGGGAGTTAGAACTGTGTCTTTAACAAAAATTTCTGAAGGAGAAAAGAACACAATCTAGATGCAGTGTACCACTTCAGAGCCAAACAGCTCAATTTGCAATCTCAAGGCCAGTGGGCAATAATTTCTGATTCTGAAACAAAACACAGCACTTCTCAGTTCCATTATAGACGCTGTTCCATTGGACCCCAGGAAAGCTGCCTGGTTACTATAGCAACAGATATAGGGGAAAACTTTTCACTTGTAATTGGTCACTCCTTTAAAATTATACATGCTATTTTTCCTTAACCTTTTTAATATGCATAAAATAAAGAGTAGAATTATGAAAGCCAATAAAGTACACAAGAGTACTTAAAAGACACACGTCAATTTGATGACAATTTTATGAATAACACTTTTCACCCCACCAAGTATGTTAAAAATATTTACAAAATAGCACTCCAATATTACAAATTAATGAATATGAAAATCATTCAATTGATCTATCCTGAACTGTCAATAGTACAGGAACTATTCATCCCTTACTGTTTTAGTGTATCTGTACAATGAAGATTTATGTTCTGGTAGGGTGGGAGGAATACATGACAGAGTACAATTTAATCCAGGCAAGTCTGCTGCCTTGCTAATGAAATCAACACTTTAAATCAGAAAAAACTCAAGTGAGACAGTTTTTACTAATTGTTGACAATAAAAGTCTCATAATGGGCAATACATGTATCTTGGGACAGGGCTATATTAAAATCAAACCCACATAACCTTTCCTCAGGCTGCAGTTTACTCATAGGGAACTGAAACCTAAGCAGAACATATTACAACTTCATTAAAACCGACTGCTTGAGATCCTACTGAGATAGTTCTAAGCCAGCACTTTCACAAACCAAGCGTTCAACAGCAGCATTTTATCTATCTACTACAGACAAATATTAAGTCTAACATCAGACATGTGCCTCTCAGAGCAAACTTGTTCCTATACAAAAGTTTACTTCTGGTTCACTTCCAGCACAAAGTAACTACGCCACTCACTAACAGCAATAATTTCTGGTAAGAACAGCTTTCTAATAACTCCATTCACACTGGGCTCACACAGAATCACAGGAAACCAGAAGTCAGGTACAGAACCTATGGGTATATCATTGCTGCAATGAGCAAGACTTTTCTCCTAACTTCTTGATTTTGCACACCAACTTGTCAAGCCCACTTCTCCAATGTGCTGCAGTTACCATATAACCTTTATTAGTAGCTTTATTCCTTCATTCTTTTATACAGCCTCATACAAAGGTGATAAGTTATAAGATGACCTACGGAAGGCTAAAGCTATCAGGAACAGATAAATAAAGCCTGCAGTTGAAGAAAAATGCCCTGCTGTTTCAACTACAAATTAAAATAAATTGCACAGTTTTTTTCTAGGAAATTTAAACTTTTAATAAGATTATCTGTGATGAAAAAAACAACAACTGACAAACAAAAAAACTCTTTGGCTCTCAGTGCAACTTAAATGATTTCCTCCCCCACTCTATAAGTCTACAGTTTCTGGATTCTCAAGATTTTACTTTGTTTAATCACTGTTCACACTTTTCATCATAGAACCTGAACATCATTATGTATTTAGGACTAAGGGCCTCTGTCTGTTTTATTCCATAATCTCTTTGCTTTCCCTTACTGAGTGTTTTTCAAACAAAACTCATTAAACAAAGTACTCCTTTATTCTCGGGTAGATGGAACTAAGAGAGAGAACAAACAGCAGTAATGCACTTGCTGTAGAGAACAGAAAAAAAAAAACATTCCAAGAAATTTTGTTAATACATGCCAATGCAGTTTTATATGAGAAGGGATAGTTCCATTCAAGAGAAACTGCATTTTCGAGGACATCTACACTGAAGAAAACATCTCAGACCTCACATCCAGCAGTAAGTCCTACACAAACAGGAATGAAACATGACTGTATTTTTAATTACAACTGTAGTGCTTATACTTGAATTTATCATGCCTTTAACTTGGTTCATCCAATTAAATGTAATGTATGGCTATCATTTGCAGTGTTTTGCATTTATGCTTGCATGTTTGTATATACTGAAATTTTAAAAGGGAAGCAATGAAAAAGGCTGACTCAAGACCCTAATTTAGCTGTTCCAGAATATGCTTTTGAATGAGTTTTGAGCTACCCGGACGCGTCAGTTCCTTCTGTAAAAGGAAGTTAAGCCATCTCTTCCATGGGCCTGTACAGCAAATAATATGTATTTGCCACAGCACTTCTTCACAATCTGAACAAAGTGGAGGGATTTGGAAATAGGCAGTTCTTTGAAGTAAGATTTTAAAAATGAGTAGTTGTTAATATTCTCACCTTAACTATAAGCATTTTTAATATAAATATGCTGGACAGAGTTAACATATCCTTGAACCATTACCTGAAATAAGTACAATATAAAAATTAAAGTATAAATATATAAATTATATATTGTATAGAGGATCTAGAGGATTATATTATACTATTATAGAGAATAATAATATTAAATATAATTACATTTACAGATGATAAATATATTAATTAGTTAAGTAGTGGCACTGAAGACTGATAGAACATGTTGATCAAAACCTTGTTGTCTTATGTATCATGAACTGAAATGAGTACAATGCTACAGATATTTTGCATTCCGCTTATTTCAATTTTATTCCCTATTATTATGTTTTTTCAAAAAATTCTAATGCTAAAGACCAATTTTAATGTTATTGTTCATATTTAGATAGAATGTCTTAGCATAATCCAGACTGAGGTTTGCCCTTTTTTTATTTATGATAAAAGACAAAACCTGCCAAGTATACAGCCCCACGCAAAAGGCAGGGCAGGGCACCACTTCTAATCCTCCTCTCAGACGTTTCAAACCATTGTTCTTCATCTGCTATCCCAACAGTCCAGCTGATGTAACCACAGAAGTTCAATCTTCCCAGGTGCACAGTTATCATACTGCCTAAAATGTTTTCATCTGTCAAATGAAATTGGACTCTTTATGCAAGAATAGCAGGGAGCTTTTTTTAATGAATTTTTAAAACTGTCACTTCGTGGAAAATCTGCAAATTATTTCAGGTAGGAGACTGATTAAAAAAATACACTTCCACAAATGAGTTGTTTCATACCAGTATTAAAAAAAAAACGTTTTAGAGACAGAAGCAGATCATATTCACTCTTATGACTTGCTAAATACTGCTGTTCTAAGTCAAGAAATGGGAATCACTGACTGAAAATAAAATATTGATTTAGAAAAGTCACATGTGACTAAATTGTGAACATACTGCAAAAACTAAATTCAATTTTATTCTCTTTCAAAACTAAGAAATTTTGTAACAGTTATTAAAAAGCTGAACAGGTAATATTTAAGTAACAGGAACAAAGGGTTACCTTTAACCGCAGTTTACACAAGAGAGTGTAATACTATACATTACTATAAAATAGTCAATAGTCAGGAGCTGACAACAGCCATCAACACAAATAAGGTACTTGAAGAATATATTTTCTACCAGTGTTTTTCTACCGCAATGACTTCTAATCTGCAAGTTCCTAATGTTCCCCTTACAATGCATATTTATCTAGTAAGCCTGCAATCTGTCTGCTATTATCAAAACCAACTGCAGTAAAATAAGTTTTGCTTGATGGCTTGCAATCATGTATGAAAGGGCAGTAGCTCCTTTTTACAAGCAATTCTAAAACACTGTCCATTTGCCATCATTTCTGTTCAAGTACCTTGAGTACAGCTGCTGAGCTGCTGCAGGGTCGCATTCAGATATTCATTCAGATAGCTCTGATTTTAAAGGCAAGTGTTTTTTGTTTGCTGATTTCCTTTTCCCCCTCGTACTTCTCCTCCCCCCCCTTCCCTATTACACAGAGGGCTACAGCTTGGCACTCATTTTCTCGAGAGAAAGGACAGACAAAAGGTGACAGCAGATAATCATCATGGCATCAGCAAGTCTGCAGTTCTTTGCTTTTATTCTGGCTTTGTTTGGTGTTTTTGGAGATATCGCGGCCACCCTGCTACCAAACTGGAAGGTAAATGCAGATGTTGGCTCAAATATCATAACAGCTATAACACAGATGCAAGGACTTTGGATGGACTGCACATGGTACAGCACTGGGATGTTTAGCTGTACCCTGAAATACTCCATTCTCTCTCTCCCCGTCTACATCCAGGCTGCACGGACCACCATGGTACTGTCTTGTATCCTATCAGCATTTGGGATCTGCATCACTACAGTTGGAATGAAATGCACGAAGTTGGGAGGGGACAGTGACAGCAAAAGTCACGCTTGTTTTGCTGGAGGAATCTGCTTCATTCTTGCAGGAATCTCTGGATTAGTACCAACATCCTGGTACACAAGAGAAATTATTTCAAATTTTCTGGACCAGACCATTCCAGAGAGCAGTAAACATGAACCAGGAGGAGCAGTTTATACAGGATTCATTTCAGCAGGCTTTCTGCTTATCGCAGGTGTGATTTTCTGCACTTCGTGTTTTAACAAGCAGCAAGGAGGATGGATTTACCCTCCAAAGCAGCACCATTTCCCATCCACAGAGCAGGAGAGCAATGAAGGTTACAATCTGAAGGACTATGTGTAAATAGTTATTTCTATCCATTCAAGGGGTTTTTTATGTGCTAAGTGTAGTTTGATTATTTCAAAGAATGTATAACCAAGCACTTAACTTTTCCTATATCTGGGTTGCAGTTATGTTTATGCAAGGTATTTAATTCATAGGGGCATCCACAAAAAGGAAAGAAGTAGAAAATGATATTTGTCTGCTACAAAAGTACTTTATTTTGCTGATTTTCAAACCATGCTGACTTTCCACGTAGCATTTACTGAAGAAAAAGGAACTATCTTCAAACATAACTGACTGTACAATTAAGGTACCGATGTCTTGTTATAGGAAAGATGATTAAAGACTAACTGCTTTCTATTTAGTGAATCAGGCTTTCAATAATGTAACATTTTATAGTATATTTTACATTTTTATCTCTGTCTTAGTTATGATGCAAGGAAAAGAAGCTCAAACATTATTTGTCCAAGAAGCCCAATTCAATGGTTTTTAAAAAGCAGACACATCTGCCTTTCATTTTCAACTGTAAATTGCCTCGGTAACTAGATTTCATAACAAACAAACAAACACCAGCACAAAAACACCCAACAAATAAAAAAAACCACAACAAAAGCCCATGGCTCCAAACCTGAGTTGCACTGTATACTGTATACTGATATATGCATATCAGACTGAAGAATCAGCAGTACCATTTAGATCTTGCCAAAGGCAGCTCTCGCACCCCAAACTGCCACCTGCTGTGGGTTTCATTGATTATTGTTAAGAAATGTCTGCTGGACATTCACCAATTGCTACTAATCTATCACTGCACAATGAATGTTAGAGGATGAGCAATACAACAACAGAAATGTAACCATAACTCTGAAAACACCTGCAAATTGTAACAAACAGCATATAAACCCCTGTAGGGTCTCTTTCAGGCCCACTCCCATGTATTCTCTTACTGTAAAATGTAGCATACAACAATCATAAAGAGACAGCTCCTTTATTTATTTTCTTAACTCCCTTATTTTGAATAATTATCTTAAATCCCTTAACCTTTTCTTTCACCACACAGATTTTGTTTTGTATTGGTCACTGGCAAGGTATGTTGTATCTAAATACTTCCCTAAACAACAACCATATTGATGAAGGAAAAGGGGTACGATTCAGGCCTTTAAATTTAGGAATATGGTAACACTGGATGAGTCTTTCAATAAAACCAACTGCTATTTATTCTGCGTATTTATATACAACTTTCATTTCCCACGTTACTAGCCTGAAATTTGCTAAAGCAGTATGAAGGAGCCTAAACATTATATGTTCATTAAGTTGGAAGAAGTAAGATCTTCTGCTATAGCATTTTGGAAAGTAGACTGTTTTGTGAGTTTAACATGTACAGAATCTATTCAGAGAGTCTTCACTCTTCATATATAAAATGGCATTACATCTGCTTTTTTTACTACCGTTACAGTCATTTTGAGTTTCCTACGTATTAATCAAGGAGTTTGTTTTGTACTATTCCTAATATTACTATCACCAGTTATTTGGTATTGCAGAGTCTTAACTATGACCAAAAAGCCAAATTTTCTTTTCTTAGACACAGTGTCATAGAGCACTGTTCCATTCCATAAACCAAGTCTTTTATGTCTCAACATTCATAGTATTGTTGAAATAATATTTATACATTGTGAGAATTGAGGTAAACAACTCATTCTCACAAACATGCATCTCCACCTTTAATAAGGGGTTTGACATGACACTTAGATGTGATCATTGTTATGTAGGTTAAATAAAATTAACATCTGTAAAATTATAACCAAAAGGCATCAATTTACAGGAGGGCGTAAGAGAAAGGTAATAATTGCATCCTATGAGCAAAATGAAGTATTCATCAGTTACATGCACTAGAAATTTTTCTTCCTGAAACTTTATACAGAAGTACCTGAACTTTGTATAGCTATGAAACAAAAAATCAAGCACTGAGCCTTTCATTCACAACATGCTGAAGGACCTTTCCAAGGAAACAGGTTCTATGAGAAGATGTACTGAGAAAATCAATCTACAACAGGAGTTTGAAGGAAACAAAATATAGTGAAAACAGGTGCCAGTTCTGTCTGAAAAAATTGTGCTTTCTGTATTTGCAGTATAAGCAATTCTTGTTTTAACTCAAAGAAATACATTAAATAAAAAAATGCTTGCATTTAGTGGTACTGCTTTTTTTATTCAACAGAGTACCAACTAACTGTAGGACGTGCTTAAACTAAGATATTTGTCACAACTTTGTAAGTTACCTCTCTCTTGGTCAACTATGGCCTTTTCAGTACAGGAAAATGGGAATATCAGTTATAGCTTCCCACTGAGAAACCACCACCACAAAACTGGAATTTTGTGATAAATGAGAGAGAATAACCTTCCAAAGGTTCTCAAGAGACATGCCTGAAAATCTCTTGAGAGAGACTGCAATAAGATGAAATGGAGATGTAATGAAGAGCTGAATCAACCAGTTTAAGAGGGACTTTAAGAAGCTGCAAGTTCATTTCTGAAACAGAACAGCAGTTTGACAGGACATAAAAGAGAGCTGATTTAAATTAGATATAAGGAAGAAAATTTTTACAATAAGGGCGGTAAAACACTGAAACATATTGCCCAGACAGATGGTGGCTGCCCCATCCCTGGAAACATTCAAGGTCAGATTGGACTGAGCTCTGAGAAACCTGATCCAGTTGAAGATGCTCCTACTCATTGCATGGGGATGGGACTAGATGACCTTCAAAGGTCCCTTCCAACCCAAATATTTCTATGATCCTATGATTTCCACATGCATTCAGGGGAAACAGACCTCACTTAATGTCAGGCACAAATTTTTACAAAAAAAACCCCCAAACCAAACCAAAAAACCATTCTTGTCCAAAATAAGACTAATTTATTAATTTTTGATCCCTGTAATCATATGTCTATTAATAAAAACCAGTGACAGTAGATAAGAGGACAACAAAGAGACTGTTCTCTACTCACTCTGCCTCACACATAGGAAGTAGAAAAGATGGTTACTTTTTTAAACAGGCAAAGGGATATAGGTGACAAAGTGCTAGAGCAATCAGAAGGGAGTATAATATGCTAAAGATGACTATGGCGAAACAAAGATTTATAAACATGGTAAAATTAGAGATCTTTGACAAAGATGACAAATTAAAAGCAGTCTTTCAAAAGACCCATCAAATTCTCTAGGTACAATTCCCAAACTGTTTATAAATGCAAAATGTAAAACAGCAGGTTTTCTAAAAATGCTACAATAGTAGCAGCCTATCCCACCATTAAATCCTAATCTCCCTCTCCACAATCACCCAAAGAAGTATGCTGATCTTGCAGACAGGTTTGAAGGTCAAAGACAAATTCTGAGGAACCAAAAAGAAAAGCAACTTCTTAAGAGTAAGCACACTTGGTTTACAGGAACTTCACATCACTCCACTTCATAGCGTGGAGATGTTGAAATAGAGCAGCCAACTGTGTTCCTTACTCAAAATGAAATACATTGCTTGACTGACAAATTAACAAAAAACCCCCATATAAATACAGCAAAACCTACCTCTGGCTTTGGAACAAAAGCTTCACCTGGAATTATGAAACAGTTTTCAACACTGCAGAGATGCTGAGCCATAATGGACAGTCTGCTACGTTGTTTACCTCCTGGATTAGCTGTAAGCCTCTACGGGAGAACCAAAACATGCACATCAGTGATACTGAATTGACCAAGGGATCAGTTACATTAAAGTTTGATTATCAGTATAATCAAATTAGAAAAACCACCACTAGTTAATAGTTAAGAACTCACATGAAATTGTACCCCTGGTTGATCTACAGTTTTTTTCTCCAATATAGCAGCATTTCACTAAGATACCATGCTGATTCACAACATTAGTCCTGCAATCAAATGCACATGAAAAGGAGCTCCTTGAACTTCTGCAGAACTAAATGAATGCCAAAAGAATTTTGTATGGACACAGGAGAAAACTAAAACTATTCTGACTGCAGGATTCAGAACAAACATTACACCATGTGACAGTACTCTCACATCCTTTCCTTCCATTGTTTCTGGATCAAATATTACTACCTTTTTTCTTCTTCAAGATGAAGCAAAGCTCCATAAACTCAAGATCAGCTAGAAACCAAAATTTCTTCATTATTAGCTGGTCTACATTTACAATACTTGCAAGGAAGTTGCATCTACTTTACATAAATTTAGAATGCCTAACATGAGAGCATTTAATACATAAAATTCAATTTAGTAACCCTCTGATTTTCCCAAGAATTTTTTTACAAAGACTATTAAAATACTAGCCTGGTCAGAGGTTTTCTACACTTTTGTGACCAAGCAAGAAATACATTTTATGTGCTTTGCTAGCACAAACAAGATTTAAACACAAAAAACAAGTCTCAAATGATAAAATACATTACACTAACTCTGCAGAAAGAGAATTTTGAAGATTCCTGTTCTTCTTTACCACCACCTCATAAAAAATAAAAACTATTTGCATATCCGGTAACATCTGTACATCATGTAGTTTCATATAAAAAGCCTACTCGTGAAATGCTGCCATGCTTATTAAATATATCCCTGAAAAATAAAACTAAGCCTATTGCTGAAGATTCTCATTTTTTTAAACAACTCTTCTGAAAGGCAGTTCAGCACAAAGCAAATAAATACTTTTCAACGACTTTTTGGAAAGAAAGCTCAGTGATTCTTTTTGCATATGCCAGCATTTAAAACGAGCCTCATTGCTGTTTCAGAGGAAATGTAATAAGAAAAAAAAAAATAAAAACCTATTCACTATCATTATCATTCTCTGAAAAAAACCCAGACTGCAAAGTCTAACAATGCAGTAAGATATGCGCTTCCTTAACCTCCACAGTGCAAATGAAACTGACCTAATGGCAACACTTTTAGTCCTTCCAATGCCAATTCAAACAAGACAATCTCTACTTCTCTCAAAAAAATCCACCTAGCAACAAGTGTTGCTCCTGCTTCTCAGCTACAGAAAGGGGTAACTTAACATCATCAACCTCTGGGTAGTAACATCTTAAACCACTTCAACCATATCAGCAGGAACATACCTGTGCATGGCACACATACACAGGTCATCTAGTCATGGGCAGGGACATCATCAGCTAGATCCGGATGCTCCGAGCCTTGCCCTGACTGACCTTGAATGTTTCCAGGGATGCGGCATCCACCACCTCTCTCAACAGAAATACTGTTACAGTGTTTCACCACCCTCACTGTAAAAAACTTCTTCCTTATATTTAAATCTACCCTCTTTCAGTTTAAAACCATTACCCATTGTTCTATCACAACAGGCCTTGTTAAAAAGTTTGTTTCCATACTTCTGTAACTTGGCCTATATTTGTATGTTTTGAATCTCAGTTGTCAAAATTTTCTTTGTCCCTACTTCTAAATATGGATAGCACCTGAAACTACTCTAAGTAAATCATTCTGAAACTCAGCTAACTAGGTAACATTTTTGCATCTACTATTAAAACTTTAGCAAGGCATGAAGCAAAAGAAAAGATTCATAAGCCTAACCTGGAATACAATCAAGGTGATACTTGACATCTCTTCTGATGCTGCTCACTGTCAACCACCCTGAAATGGCCTGAAGTTGTGTCAAGGGATGTTTAGGCTGGATATTAGAAAGAGGTTCTTCACCCAGAGGGTAGTTGGGCACTGGAACAGGTTCCCCAGGGAAGTGGTCACAGCACCAAGTCTGATAGAGTTCAAGAAGTGTTTGGATGATACTGTCAGGCACAAGATGTGAGTCTTGGGGATGGTCCGCTAAGGGTTGGACCTGATCTTTGTGGGTTCCTTCCAACATGGAATATTCTGTGATTTTGTGTTTTAGGAACAGCTATTTCTTTTGTTCTCCAATAAAAGCTGTACCACGAAATTGTGCTTTAAATCAACACATATTAAAACCCCATTATAAATGAATCTGCAAAATCTGACACAGGAAGTAACCTACATGAAGAATTAGACTGGCAAAGTTGATCAAATAAAGGAGTATTTAACACAAGTATACAAGCCACTTTTTGCCAAACAAGGCAATTTTTTAGGGAAGGCCTCTGATGCCGAACAAGAATCAAGAGATCCCCGAATGTAAACTCAGCAACAGTTAACATTAATTTCATTGCATGACCTTGAACAGCTGACTCAATTTCCTAGTGTTTCTAACTTCTCAGTGTTCTAAGTGCAAGAACTTAAGCATGCATGGTATTTGGCATCTAATTGAGCTACGCTGGGTGCAGAAGCACTATAATCTGTGTGTCACCAATGATGTATGCAGATGGTTACTGCTATATAAAGTACAGAGCGCTCTCATGCAGTGTTAGGCCAATTTTTTTACTGCTGTCACAAAACTATGCATCTTACCCATCATCACATTGCATTTTACATCACAGTCCATGAGCCATGTTTCGCAACAAGGTCTAATCCCATATGACATGAAGTCCTTCTGGAAAATAGATCTGGCTTTTTTAATGCCTGAAACATGAGCCCAGAACTGAATTAAGAAATCTGGTTTATTTCATACCAAATGTTTGTCCCTGGTGTCTTTAGAGCCACCTACTGGAAATACTTCACTACCTGTCTTGAATGTTGATGGCAAAGCTAGAGTAATGACAGAACAATATGATTTTCTTTGACCCCAAAAAACGACAGTAGACATGGCACTTTCATATATCATTATGACTAATTTACGTGCTGGAAAAAAAGCAGAGCAAAATTTTCCGATTCAAATTTTTACTTTGAAAGATAAAATTAAAACAACACACAGAGGTTGCACAGAGAAAACCCAGTATTTACAAACACTGGAGTAATTAGATGGAAATTCAGTTTTCAGATTGACGCGCAATTTCTTTTTACCTTTTTAAAAGCGAGATGCACGTGAGAAGCCAGACCACTTCCATACATACAAAGCAAAAAGCCTTCCAGTCTCTGTTATTACATGTTTCATACAATGACAACAGAAATAAACTGTTAAGTCTAAAAGCATTGTGCAATAAGTCAACCTAGTATCAACTGATCTAGCATTAATACTGCATCACAGATCAGTATGGCCTTCTTTTAAGAAAATAACTATTAATAAAAGTAGAATCTCAATTTGCCCTAGGACTTGTGGTGACACAACTCAATTGATGCCTTTTTAC